CGGCACTGGGAAGTCCCGTGCATGAGCTTCTCAGACAGTGTCCTCGGGCCAGGGCCGCAGAGCAATGGCACACACAGGAGCCTACTGTCTGCCAGCCCTCCTTGCCAGGACCTTCTCTCCGCTTCTGGGTCTCCTCAGATTCTTACTGTTATGAGAATTCCAGGCTTCCTGGCCTCATAACAATATGAAGGGGAACAAAAAGTTCCAGAATGCAGAGTCAGGACAGAGAGGGCGCAAGGCCAGGGTCTCAGGCTGGACATAGACTCAGGTCTGTGGCTGGCCTGCTACACCTGCGGGACCCAGCAAGTATCTCAGCATGGGCCTGGAGCTCTATATGGACCTGCTGTCAGCAGCCTGCCGGGCTGTCTACATCTTTGCCAGGAAGAACAGCATCCCCTTTGACTTCCAGTTTGTGGATCTGTTGAAAGGTGAGTCCCCACTTCTGTTCAAGCAGGTTTGGTCCTAGGGGGACAGGCAAGGCGCCCAGCTTGGAGCATTTCTGAGGAGCAGAGACAGTGGACCAAGGAGATCCCCACAAAGGAAGAGAAAGAAAAGGTGCCGAAGGAGGCAAGGTGCCCAGGTTGCCTCCCTGTCTAACTACCATAACCAAGCCCTGCTAATGACAGCCTCCTGCTGAGATGAAAAGGCTCCCAGGCAAAGGAAAGGGGCCTAGGGAATCCCCAGGCTTCCTTGCCCCTTGCCATCCTCTTACATGGGTCTCGCATCTTGTCACATGCAGCATCTGCCAACCAGGCTGGTAAAGGTCACAGTCATCCTCCATATGAAGAAGTAGATGTTCCTTCCACAGCCCTCCTTCCCTGATAATCAAACCTGCTCAGGGGGCTGAGAGTGTAGCTCAGTAGGCGAGCGCTTGCCTAGCATGCTTGAGGCTCTGGGTTTGATCCTGAGAACCACACACACAAAATATATGGAAAACTGGGCTGGGTGTGGTGGCACAAGGCTGTAATCTCAACTCTCAGGAAGCTGAGGCAGGAGGTTCACCATGAGTTTGAGGCCAGCCTGGGCTACATAGCAAGTCCTACACAGATCCCATGTAAAGGTTAAAGCACTGGGCTCCAAGCTCACCTCAAGAAAACAAAAGGCACCTGGGTGTGGTGGCACCTGCCTTAATCCCAGCACTCAGAAGGCTGAGGCAGGAGGATCACTGTGAGTTTGAAGCCAGCCTGGGCTACACAGTGAGACCCTGCCTCAAAAAAAAAAAAAAAAAGCTCAGCTTACAGATGTGGAAGCCTCAGTGAGGAGGAGACATGGGAGCTACAGAAATAAAGTTTGAATGGAGCCCCCAGAAACATTTCCACCCAAGGGATCATCAGCTGGTATGGGTCACAGCCAAGCAAACACAGCTTGCTGTGCCAGAGGCAGTCCCAGGAACAAGCCAGAGAAGTTGGCTACTCCATAGACAGAGCAGAAAGTAACAGACATATTTTACTTTTGTGGGGTCTCAAAGGAATATTATTAATCATTCATGGTTTTTTTTCCCCCCACAGGGGCAGGATGGAGTTTAGTAACTATGCAGGCGTGAGGGGTTTTCTTTTTTATAAAGCCAGTTAAGGTTTTTTTTGAGGGGGTTACCAGGAATTGAACTCAGGACCTTGTGCTTGCCAGGCAGGCACTGTGCTGTTGAGCTATCTCCCTAGCCCTGTAGATGTGAGTTTGACCAAGGCTCAAAATGTGCTTAGAAATGTGTTACGTCCTCTCTCTGGGCCCGGATCTTCCTATGGACATGCACTGTCATGGGGGTATAATGAAGCTGGAGGTCAGCGCTCAGTTGAGCCCTTCACCAGCTTTGTTTGCAGCCTCCTCCCGCTTGCTCTTCTTTTTTCTTCCCAGTACCGGGAATTGAACTCACGACCTTGCACTTGCCGGCCAGGCGCTGTGCTGCTGAGTTAAACCTCCAGCACCACCCCCACCCCCACCCCCGGCTTGCTCTTGCAACCTGAATCCTACCCTGCCTCAAGCAGCCCCCTCCCTTCGCTGACACCCTGGTCTATTTTCCGCCTGTTATCACCAACTATTCCAGTCACCTGCTCGTTCTCCCTTGGGCTAATGCTTCCAAATCCTGCCAGTACGCCCTGCCTCAGGCAGCTGCTCAGGTAGCTCACAGTTTCTGCCCCCTTTGTGGAGTCTCTGTTCAGGTCAGGTGACCCCAGTTGTATTTTTTGGGTTTTTTTTTTTCTGGTACCAGGAATCGAATTCGTGACCTCGTGCTTGCTAGGCAGGCGCTGTGCCACTGAGCTAAATCCCCAGCGCACCCCCAGTTGAATCTGAAGGGTTCCCCTGTGGATTTTCAGTTGTGCTGTGGACTTAAGCTTGCTGTGCTTGCCCCTCTAAAAGGGGGTCAGAGGAAAGGATGGGAGGAATGCAGGTGGGACCCAGGGCCTATGGTTTTGGTTCATTCACAGGCTGCGGCTTCAGGCCCCAGGGGTTAGACAATGGGGCTGAAGATCTCCAGCTTCCGTGAGCCCGAGGGTTGTCTTGGGCCAGGGGAACAGGGGTCACCAGATGTGGGGTGGAAGCAGGCTGGGAGGCAGGAATCCTGCTCCGCTACTTACTGACTTGCGACCTGGGCAAGCCATGCTGTTCCTCCAGTCCGCCTCAGCTTCTTGGAGTAGAGCAGAAGGCATTTCTGTCTCTAAGAGTCCCGTTTTCTCCTCCCTGGGATCCTGTTAGCTTCAAAGTCTCCCTGCCCTTCTCAGGTCACCACCACAGCAAGGAATATATTGAGATTAACCCCCTGAGGAAGTTGCCCAGCCTCAGAGATGGAAAATTTGTCTTATCTGAAAGGTAAGAACCCTTCCATCATCTTCCTCTGCTGTTCCTGGGGGACTCGGTGGGGACCGACCTGCCAGCATTTATTTAACTTGTTACTGTGGAGAATTTCACACAGATACTAAAGGAGAATGGCTGCTAACCAAAGAGCGGTGCAACGAAACCCTCACATCCACCCGCCAGCCCCAGCAACTGATGAGTCAGGGCCCATTTTGCATTCAACGCACCCTACCCGCTTCTCCTTCCTTCTAGACCCTCCATCGTTTCCCTCATTTTATGGCTTGCGTCTAGATGTCTCCCCAAAGCGTCATGTGGTCATAGGTGGGGCTTTTTCAGAGGTGGCTGGATCTAGAGTGTGTGATGCTGGGGTTGATTAGTGGTGCAACTAGGCTCAAGGGCACTAGGATTAAGGATGTGAGTGCTACCCGCCCTAAGTAGACTGGATAAGATAAAAGGGGCAGGAAGGGCTGTGGTGGGCCCTTGTTGTTTTCGCTATCTTGTGGGCACCATGAACTGTCTCTTCTGTGACACCCTTCTGCCATGCCACCTTGCCTTGGAGCCAGCCGATTATGGACTGAAACCTCTACAAACTGTGAGCTAAATAAACGTTTCCTCCCTTACCTTTGGGTGTCAGGTATTTTGTCTCAGCAATGAGAGAAAAGTAACTAAGATACCCACACATGCTTAGGAATGCATGTACCTCTTAAAACATCAATACCTAATAACTTCACAGTACCTAATAAATTAACAGTAAACCAGGTATGGCGATGCTTGCCTGTAATCCTAGCATTATGGGAGGCTGAAACAAGAGGATTGCAAATTCGAGTCTGGCCTGGGAAACTTAATGATTTAGTGAGACTTGGTCTCTGAATATAAATAAATACATAAATGTCTGGGATATTCAGTGAGAAGATCCTAGGTTCAGTTCTCAGTATTCTCCACTAACAAAAGTAGTGATTCTTAGATTTCAGCAAATACCCAGTTCCCATTTAAAAATCTTTATCTCATAAATATTTTCTTAGCAGTTTTCTTGAATCAAGGTGCAAAAAAGTTTCAAGTATCACAGCTAGTTGATCTGTCTCTGATGATGTTCTTTTCCTACAGCCCCGTATCTGCCCATTTTTGATTGCTAAAATGGATCACTACAGACTGGATAATTTATTTAGAAGGACAGAGGTTGAATTTAGCTCATAGGTCGGGAGGCTGGATAGTCCAAGACTGTGGAGCTGGCATCTGCTTAGCACCTGGCAAGGGCCTTGCCTCTGGGTCCTGGTGTGGAACAAGCCAGCCAGACAGAGCTTGTTTTTACACCAGAGCCTGTCTTGTGATAGCCCACTAACCAGGAATCCTCTTATCCATGAATGGATTTGAGGGCAGAGCCCTTTTGACTCAATCACTCTTGGTGGCCCCATGTCTTAATACTTCACAATGAGGATGAAATTTCAACCTCTATTTTGGTGGGGATGTTCAAACCATAGCACCTGTGTTACTCCTCCACTTCTGTATCTCTGCATGTTTCCTACTGATGATGCTAAAGAAACTGGGTCCTTTGCTCTGTGGAGTTTCCTGTATCAGCCATCAATCAGCAAGTCTTGAGACATCCCCTGCCAAATCATGTCTCCAATCTGTCTCCCCTCCTCTGGGTCTCTGAGGCCTCCCCCCACCAACACTGTTTCCTTTGGTACTGCAGGGGCCACCATCTTGGCCTCCCTGTTGTTGATTCTGTCCCCTCCATCCGGCACAGAGGGATGAATCTTTTCATTCCCCAAGGATTAAGTCCAACTCTTCTCTGCACCTCTAAGGGCTTCTGGCTATCTCTCTGGCTCTGGCTCTGGCTATCTCTTTTCACTCCCTAGTGGCCCCCATCCTTCCAGATACACTCACCTGCTCCACTCCCCAAACTCACCTCTCTCTCACCCTGGCGTTTAACACACGTCCCCCCTGAACTGACTGACCTTCCCGATGCTGTCCACTGACTCCTGCTCGCCCTCCAGGTCTCCCTGCCCTAGCTGACTGTGGGACTGACAGCTTAGCGGAGGCCTTTCCCAGGGCCCTTTGCAGTCTTCTTTCCCTTGGAAAAATATCAGCACCTAGAGCCTGTTTGTGGCTAGAGGCTACCCAGGAGCAAATGGGCCCAGGCCACAGTGCCATGGTTGGTGCTGGGGCCTTCAGAAGGCCAGGGCAGTGATCCTGACCTATCCTTTCTGCAGCATGGCCATCCTCTTCTACCTGTGCCGCAAGTACAGTGCACCTTCTCATTGGTACCCTCCAGACTTGCACACACGTGCCCGTGTGGATGAGTTCATGTCCTGGCACCACATAGCCATTCAGCAACCCATGAGCAAGTTACTCTGGATCAAGGTGAGCAGGTGCATGTCTGGGCCTCAGGGACGAGAGAACAAAGGTGTCAGGAACCCTGGAATCCAGTCCTCGCCTTGTGGACCACTGATGAGCTCAAGCACATCTTCATCCCTCACTGAGCCTCATTTCCTCTGCTCCCTCTCCTGCCTGCCTTACAGAGCTGCTAGGGGTATGGAATGAACCATTCAGTATGAATGAGTCTTGTCTCAAAAAGGAGAAAGACACCCAAGAAAAGTTCATATGACTCAAGCCAGGACAGGATTCAAGAAATTTCATTTTGAACTAGAGCATATAAGAGTCAAAAGGCCCAGAAGACAAAGAACCAGACTATGTCTCTACTTCTAATCTTATGCCTGTGTCATGGTCTGTTTCACATTACTATAATAAAACACCAGAGGCTGAGTAACTTATAAAGAAAAGAGGCTTATTTAGCTCACAGTTTTGGCAGTTGAAAGTTCCAACAACACAGTACCACCTCTGCACAATGGGTGCAAGCACATGAGGGGCCACATGGCAAGACAGGAGGTCAGAAGAGGGGGACAGTGTCCATCTCCCTCTTTGATTATTATTGATCTCTTAAGAATGAACTCAGTGTCCCAACAAGAACTACCTCAATCCCTTCCCAGGACAGTGGGGGCCAAACCCGGAGATAATCTACCACTGAGTTACATCCCCAGGCTCCCCTCCCCTTTTTTTGAGACAGGGTCTCACTAAGTTGCCTAGGCTTGAATTTGTGATTCTGCTGCCTCAGCCTGCTAAATAGCTGAGAATACATTTACAGGTATGCACCACCATGCCTCGCAAAGTCTCCCGTACTTTAAGTTTCCACCATATCTCGCATCGCCACACTGGAGAACAAGCTTCCAACACATGAACTCTTGAGGGGCACATTCAAACCATATCCCAACTACAGCAACTCGTGACAGGTATCACTAGTCAATCACAAGATTCCTTCTTGATGGAGCCTCAAATTCTTTTTGAAGCCATGGCCCCAGGAATCTTCATTATTAGTCAGAACTGCAAAAAGAGAGGAAACTACTTTCCGTCCTCAGTACTGTACAATATCTACCTAGCAGATAAGGATACGAAAGCCGGGAGGGTAGATGGGACTGCAGTGCAGTGTCTGCTTCCCTTCTCTCCCCAACCTGGCCAGTTGCTGATCCCAATGATCACAGGCGAGGAGGTTCCAGTGGAGAAGACAAACCAAGCACTGGAAGAGGTGAAGAAAAGCGTTCAGTTATTCGAGGAGAAGTTTCTGCAGGACAGGATGTTCATCACAGGGGACCACATCTCACTGGCTGACTTGGTGGCACTGGTGGAGATGATGCAGGTGGTGGATGGGAGGCCGGGGGTGGGTCAGAGCCTGGGCAAAGGCAGAATGCATCGGATGTTGGCAGGGTCATAAATTGAAGCTAGATTAGTGACGCCTGAGAGGCAGGCAGGGCCACGGTGAGGGTTGTGGGAGTTGGGTCTGGGTGTCCTTTCTTGACAAGAGTCTACAGTGTGGGGAGGAGCTAGAGGGTGAGGCCAGGATAAAGAGAACACTGTATTCCTTGGTCCATCTCCCAGGATCCCAGATGCCTCCTCCTCCTCCGCCTCCCCTCCCCTCCCCCTCCCCCCACACCCTCTGCCCCTCCTTCTCCTCCTTCCCCCACCTTTCAGGAAATGTTCAGAGCCTTTGGAAGTATCCTGCTGGACTTGCCTCTTCTCCAGAGCTCCAGACAAGTGCTGGGTCAGAGTGGTGTCTGATGTGAATACGGAGGCACACTGTGGCCGTCAAGTGGCCTTTGTGTGAGGCATTTATGTGGCCTTTACAAGCAGGGAGTGGTAGCCAGTTCTGGGGTAGCTGGTGTGTGTGGGATGGCCAGTTTAGATCCAGTCAGTGTCTTGAGAGACCAGCACAGTCCCTGATTGGTATGCAAAATGGTCACGTTGGCCCCTGTTCAATGTGCAGTGTGATGTATCACGAGAAACCATTCTGGCCTGTCCCAAGTGTACAGCCCCACACCCTTTACATTTTACCCCCCTACGAGAGTCCCCTAACACCTCAAATGCATATTTCTTAGTAAGCCAACCAAACTGTCACATCTCTTTCAGCCTCTGTGTCTGATCACAGAGGGACGTGCAACACTGGGGGAGAGGAGCTCAGGCCCCCTCCCCATCCTTGGGGATGAGGGTTTTCCTTCAAAGAAAGCAGGACCCATGGGAGGTTTTAGACTAGAGAAGTGGAAACTACCTCAGCGAGGGGTCACCTCAGAAAGGGATTCAGAAACTTTGCAGCAAAACCGGTGACCAATGAATCTGGGGAATTATGGATCCTCCATCCTAATTTCACATCCAGCTTGTGACCCCTTGCCCACCCCTTGAATGACTAGGAAGATGAGGAAGGGCCTTGAGACTGCCAGAGAAGATGCAAGAGGGCTCGTCCTCAAGCTGACCCTGTTTTCCTTTGTCTGTCCACAGCCCATGGGCGGCAATTATAATGTCTTCCTTGGTAGCTCCAGGCTGGCTGAGTGGCGCATGCGGGTGGAGCTATTCATTGGCTCTGGCCTCTTCTGGGAGGCCCATGACCGGCTGATGAAGTTAGTAGATTGGGATGTTTCCACATTGGATCCAATGGTCAAGGAGAAGATCTGCAGCTTTATGGAGAGATACAAGTGACCTAGGGGCAGCTCAACCTCTACAGTCCAGCTGACTCAGCCCCCTGAGCCTCCTTCTTTAGGGGAGACACTAAAAAACAACTCTGTTCTTTTACCTAATAAAGAACTGGAACAACTATGGTGTTTGCTGAGTTGGAGACAGTTGGTATAAGCAGAGTCTGATGTAGGAGCAGATGATAGTCACAGGTCCTCTCATTTTTCATGAAGAATACAAAACTTAAAGGTTAAATATGTTTCCATTGTCAATAATAATAACTGATGACTTCAACACCCGGTTTCAATACTAGAAGAACTAGATAAAATATCATCTAGGAACAACACTACAAACCAGTTGGACCTACTAGAACATTCCCCACAGCAACAGCAGCATAAACATTTTTCTCAAGTGCAACAGAATATTCTCCAGCATAGGCTATATATTTGTCCATCAAGTACATGTCAGATTTCAGGAGACTGAAATCTTGCAAAGTGTGTGCTCTGAACACAGTGAAATTGTAAGAGCAAATTTTAAAATCTGGCAGCTTCATTGATAGGACCCCACACTCCATTATCCTTGACTCTCTAAATTCAGAGATGGTTAGATTCAGCCCTGTCTGACTACATGCAGCTGCATCAAGGCCAGAAAAACATATCCTGTTTGTGAGCCTGCTTCAAGGTCTTCCTGCCTGGGACAGAATTCCTGCCTGGGACAGGATGACCTGGTCATGGACACAAGTGATCGATTGTACCTGCATGCATGGCACCAACTCCCCTGCCATCCTCACTATATGACAAATGACGACTTGTAACCAAAACCCATCCTCTGAGTAAACCTGCCTAGAAATGCATGACTACACATATGTAACCAGTGATGAAGTAGCTTGCCATCAGCCTTTGTAATCCAGCTTGCAAAAATGTATATAACACTCCGCTTTGCTCCGACTCAGGGCTGATGATCCAGAACGTGCATTCTCATCAGCCCACTACTGTTAATAAAGTACTTTGCCTTCCAAACTTCTTGGTGCAGAGCTGTTTTCGGTCCAGTCCTGATTTCTGCAACAAAATGAGATTAGAAATCAATATCAGAAGGAAAACTAAACAAGCCATAGGTAGAAATTAAACAACACGCTTGTAAACAAAAAATGTGTCAAAAGGGGCTGGGGATTTAGCTCAGCGGCAAAAGCGCCTGCCTGGCAAGCGCAAGGTCGTGAGTTCGGTTCCTGGTACCGGAGAAAAAAACAAACAAACAAAAAAAAAAACAAACAAAAAATGTGTCAAAGAAAGAAGAAATCACAAGGGAAATTACAAAGTATCTTAACAAATGAAAATATAACATACCAAAATGTGTGGCATGCAGTAGAAGCAACTCCAAGAAGAAAATTTATAGCTATAAACACACACTTTGGAAAAAAAACAACAAACCACTTAATTTGGTCCAAAATCCAGGATCAGTCATGTTCTTTGGGTTATGCCTTAATTACTTTTCTCACTGAGACAAAAAAAACAGACACCCAAAGTTAAAGGAGGAACAGTTTATTTTAGCTCACAGTTTGTTTCAGTCCATAGTTGGTTGGCTTCAAGGCAAGGGGCATCACAGAAGAGAAACAGTTCATGGCAAAGCAGGACAGGCAGAATGCAGCAAGCAGCAAGCAGCAGCAGCAGCAGCAGCAGCAGCAGAATAAGCCTCTGGCCTGGCTTCCCTGTCTTGCTTTATATTCCATCCAAACTGTAAACATATTGATTGGTGCCAGCTGCACCCAGGGTGAGGCATCCTTAATCCCAGCCTCACATCCTTAATGCCAGTATCATGCCTTTCACCCACATTCACACACTAATCCAGCTGCCTTTGAAACTTCCCACCTATGACCAAACGAAGCTCTGGGGGGACATCTAGATACAAGGCATAACAGGATAGCCTTGAAGGCTTAGAAGAAGTAAGTGACCTTGTTTGTGGCAAGGACCTGAGAGGGAGACCTCCAGCCAGCATCAAGCAACTGTCTGGGACCTTCTGCCCTACAACCACAAGGAAGTGAATTCTGTCAAAAGCCCGGGTCAGTTTGGGAGGGAGCCTTCCTCAGTTGAACTTCAGATGATGGGAGAATCAAGGCAGCTCCAACCTCATGAATTTGGGGGAGGGGGATGAACACCAGTATTAGTTGGAAGATTGAGAACTAAGCCCTGGCTGATGCGTTGATTGCAGCTGGAAGGCTGAAGCAGGAAAATCACAAATTTCAGCACAGCCTGGTCAATGTAGTGAGATGTGTCTCAAAAAAAGGGGTGGGTGGCAGGCATGGCGGCTTATACCTGTAGTTCTAGTAGTCGGGAGGCTGAGGCAGGAAGACTGCTGAGAGCTTGAAGCCAGCCTGAGCTACATACTGAGTTCCAAGCCTGCCTGAACTACATAGCGAGACCCTGTCTCAAAAGGGGGGAGGGTATAGTGCAATGTGAAAGCCCTGTGTTTAATACCCAGTACAACAAAAAAGAAAGAATGAAGGAAAAAAAGAAAAAGAAAAAGAAGGAAAGAAAGAGAGAGAGAAAGAAAGAGCAAGTGTGGAGCCTCGTCACAGCCAGTCTCTCGTGCTTCTGGTTCTTCCGTGTGATCTTTCCCATTCCCACATGTTCTGCCGTTATCATCTACCGTTAGGCCCTCACAACAGACCAACAAATGAGAATACTCAATCTTGTATTTTCACCGTCCAAAAGGACCTGGCGAGGGCAAGCCCAGGATCTGAAGCTCAACAACTGAACCCAAGATCATGGAGTTGCATGGGCCTGGGGCTCCACCTGGGCCTGCTGTGCCATCTAAATCTTCACCAAGAAAACACCATCCCTTCCAGCCGCACACCATGGAACTGCTCAAGGCTGGGACGGCCCTCTAACCTCCCCATCATTCTAAAGGTGAAGAAACTGAAGCCAAGAGAAAGGAAGAAACAGATTCAGCACTAGGGGTTAAATATTGCTGCACCCTTATTTTGGGACTTAATCGTATTAGAGGGATTTCTGGGAAGTGATTGATGAGGGCTCTCCCTTCATGAATGGAAATGCTGCCCTCATAAAACAAGTGGAAGCTGGGTGCGGTGGTGCACACCTGTAATCCCAGCATTCTGGGAGACTGAGGCAGGAAAAGTACAAGTTCAAGTCCAGCCTGGCAACTTCTGGACTTAGCAAGACCCTGTCTCAAAATAAGAAATGAAAAGGGCTGGGGATGTAGCTCAGAGAACTGGGTTTAATCCCCAATACCTGTTTAAAAAGTTGTAATCCTAGCACTTGGGAGGCTGAGGGAGGAGGATCCTTGTGAGTTCAAGACCAGCCTGGACTACAAAGTGAGCTCAAGGCCAGCGTGAACTGTATATCGAGACCTTGTCTCAAAAAGACAAAAAAAAAAAAAAAAGTTGTAAGGAGCCCTCTTGCCCCTCGGTTTGTTGTTATCTTTGAAGCAAAGGGCAGCAAGCCTTTGCCAGACAAACAACCTTTTGGAACCTCGATCTTTGATTTCCCAGCCTCCAAGATTGAGCAACACATTTCTACAGTTTACAAACCGCTCAGTCTAAGGCGTTTTATTATAGCAGTCCAGAAAACACTATGACAACCAGGGAAGGAGACAGAGGGCCCTGCGCTGGCAGGAGCTGGGTGACCGAAGCTGTCAAATTCCAGGGGTGGGATGGGAGCAGAGCAAGTGAGCTCAACGCAAGCTCTGCAGTTCTGCCACTTGGCGGCAGCAAGATCTCAGGAGTGTTGACCCATAGATCAACATATAAGGATGGATTCTGGAGCTAGACTTTCTGGGTCCATCGTCACACTGTTCCTCAGTTTCCTCATCTGTGAAATGGGGGCGATAGAAAATTCTGACCTACGGCAGAAACGCCAGAAGAGCTCTGCCTCTCGAAGATATTACGGTAATCACGGGAAGACGGACTGGGGCTCCTTTGCTCCTCCCTTTGCCAGTCAGAGGTAGCTGTCTACAAGCCCAGGCCAGCTGGGCTCCGACTCCCGGAGCCCCGCCCCTCGGACACGCCCCCCGGCCGCCACCAACTAAAGCAAAGGGTCTGGGGGCGGTGTCCGGGGCGTGGCCGGGCCGGGTGGGATCTGGAGGTCCTTGGAGACCTGACACCCTGCGCTGGAGTTTTTGCAGGTCCCGCAGGTTGTAAATCTGTCCCGCCACCTTCGCCATGGGGCTGGAGCTCTATCTGCATCTGCTGTCCCAGCCCTGCCGCGCCATCTACATCTTCGCCAAGAAGAACGGCATCCCCTTCCAGCAGCGCACCGTGGAGCTGCTCAAGGGTGGGCCGGGCCTCGGGTTTGGGGAAGGAGGAGGTGGGGAGGGGCAGAGGGGGCGGCCGATAGTGTAGTGGCTCCTCGCACCACCTCTCCACGGGCAGTCGCCGGTCTGGCTTGGAGATTCTGCAAAAGCTGAGACCGGGGGAGATGCATGCCTCGGGAATCTCCGAACTCTGCAGTCCACAGAATGAGCACTGGGGTCTCCACTGAAGCCAGGTGACTGGCCAGGCAGCAGGTAGAGAGCAGAGAGACCTGGTACACAGAAATGGGTGTAACCTGGACCGTGGGATAGGGACCTCCAGAGACGAGATGGGGGCTGGAGGAGCGGGATTAGGGGGCCAAGTGTGGAGGCTGGACAGAATCAGCCCCTCCTTTGCGATCCTCAGTGCTATGGTTGGCAGCAGTGTGAAGAACAGGCAGTGCACTGGGACCTGCCTTTTCCAGCCTTGCCCTCTGCTCTGTCTGGATTGATTGACTGATTTATCTGTTTGTTTTTTGAGACAGGGTCTCACTCTGTAGTCCAGGCCTTGAACTCACTATGTAGCCTAGGCTGGCTTCAAACTCGCAGCGATCCTCCTGCCTCAGCCTCCCAAGTGCTAGGATTATAGATGTGCACTATCATGCCCAGCTTGTATTTATTTATTTATCAGTAGTAGGAATTGAATTTGTCCTTTGCACTGAGCTATATCCTCAGCTTTTCTTTTCTTTTCTTTTTCTTTTTGAGATAGGGTCTTGCTATATAGTTCAGACTGCTTTAAACTCACTGTGTAGCCCAGGCTGACCTGGAACTCTTGGTGATGTTCCTGCCTCAGCCTCCCAAGTGCTGGGATTACAAGTGTGCAGCACCACCACTCCTAGCCTATTCTTCTTGTTTTGCCTTACTTACCTGTCCTTACCTTACCTGTCTCTCCTGCTGGCAACAGTCCCCTCTCCCCACCCCACCCTGCACCCTGAGCCAGATGTTTGTTTCTCTGGCAGATGTTTGAGGACCTCAGGGCCGCAGCTGGCAGGTCAAGGCTCAAGCCTGGTGGGGGCGGGGTGCTGGGAGGGGAGGGCAGCAGAACATAGATGTTGCAGGGTGTTCCCACTGGGTGACTACTTGGCCAAGCCTTCCACCCAGCGCTTGTACCACCCTTTTGACCATTGGACGATGGACTCCCCGCCTGAAACTTGACCCCTTCCCAGCCTCCTCTATGGGGCATTCACTTGCTGCGCAGGGGAGCCAGCTCTGTGGAACATAGGGCAGGACTGAGGGCATGAGGGATGTGCGGATCTCTGAGTCAGCTGTCCATACATGGGTGCAGAGGAATGTGCATTCGCTAGGAAAGGAGGAGAGAGTATCCCTGAGGGAAGAGGGTAAAGAGAGGGTATTCTTGAGACTGTGTATGATTTGAGGAGCTTCCACCTACTCCAAAGTCCTGGGGAGCCACTGAGGGCTGTAGAGCAGAGTGTCACTGGCCTTTGGGCTTCTTAAAAAGTTTGCTAGGCTTATCTGCAGGAACAGAAACCATTCAGACAAGCTGAAGCAAAGGTTGTGGTCTCAGGGGCACCGGACTGCACCTTTCACCGGCTGTGGGTGGGGGCGGAAAATGAGTCTGTCCCGGTTTTAGTGCAATGGTGAGCAGAAACACCAAAATGACACCCAGGATTTGGAGGCAGATTCATTTACATAGATGGGCACTGATGGGGACCATTCCCAGAATATCAGGCCCCCGTGCCTGGTGGTCTAGGGCTTTTACAGGATATGCAAGCAGGAAGTACAAAGGCGGTACAAAGGAGAGACAGAACAGCCCGTCAGTTCTTCTGACTGGCTAGCAGGGTGAGGGCATTTGTTACAAGGGGAGATTAAGGATCATCAGTTCATGAACTTGATACGATGTACCATCAGGCACTTTGTGTGTTCGGTTACACTCTTGTCTTTACAGGGGTCAAGAAAGTAATTACAAAGCCATGAAGCAGTTACAGAGCTAGGCAGTTTCAAAAGAACAAAGTTTTATTTATTTTTTTGGGGGGGCGTTGGAGGGGTAGTCTCCGGTATTGGGAACCGAACTCACAACCTTGCGCCTGCCAGGCAGGCGCTGTGCCGGTGAGCTAAACCCCCAGGCCCAAGAACAAAGTTTTAAAAAGCACAATTTCTCTCGTACAGTTTTTCCTTTTCAGTAGCAGAGCCTGAAAGCAGGGCAGGCTCTGAAGCCCCGGGGGCAGGGGGAGCAGGGGGACACAGAGGGCCAGGAGAAGTTGGTGAAGAGTAAATAGAATCAGGAAGAGGCCACTCCACTGTTTGTCCTCACAGGCCATAGAGGGAGAAATGCTGTACCCGGATGACCTCCCCTTGCAGGTCCCCACTCCAGTGGAGAGCGGGGGAAAGGGAGGTGGCGTGGGCATGTGCAGGCCCAGGCACTGTGCCCTGCGCGCTGAGCTCTGTGGCAGGGAGGTGGTCTGTGGGGGAGGTTGTGCCCTTGAGGACTTGCCCAAGGGTATTGAGTCTATTTTGTACCAGCTGCCGGAGCAGCCTCCCCCTCTTCCCCCCAGCAGCCTTTTCCATTCAGGAGCACATCCCAGAAGGGAGAAGAACCAAGAAATTGGGGCCTGGGCATTGCAGGGAGTGGACCCAGGTGGCCTGGAAGGCTCAGGGATCCAGTCCCACCCCTGTCATGCTGGGCTCTCCACAGGCCAGCACCTCAGTGATGCCTTTGCCCAGGTGAACCCCCTGAAGAAGGTGCCAGCCTTGAAGGATGGGGACTTCATCTTGACCGAGAGGTAACGGGGCCCCCTGGGGCTGCTGGCATGCCTTGCTGGAGCCACCCTGAGTCAGCCCTCTGGGCTATCGACCAGGAAACTAAAGTCCTCAGAGGCACAGGGTGCCACAGGGAGCTGGGACTGACCTCAACCTGTCTGCTCTTCCAGTTCACTAGGTTGGCTGGAAAATCCGGCATCTGCGTTACCCCTGCTCCTGACCTTTGGTTGTTGATGAGTATCCCTGGGCAAGGGTGTGGGGCCAGGGGGCAGGGCAAGGAAGTGTGGCAGCTTCACCACCATGGAGGCAGCCCTCTGGCCCAGGTTTTGTCCAGATGGCCCGGTGGCATCTGGGCTACCTAGTGTCCCCATCCCTGGGGCCACTACAGGCTTCCCTAGGTAGGTCTCCCTATGGTCGAGCCACCAGATATATCACAGAAGGTCTCAAGAAGTTAAAACCTCCCTCTTCTTGGAGGGTCAAGCCTCTTTCCAGTTCTGCCCCTGTGTCAGCTGAGTCACCCATCCCATACCCAGGAGAACCTAGACTTTATGCTCTAGAGTCCATCTCAAATCCAGAGATGGATGCATCCCAGGAAAGTCCTGTGACGTTGTGACAATGCCATCCTTCCTTCCTGGTGCCTCCTGTTGTCCTGAGTGCTGTGTCTTCCTGATGTCGAGAACCCATAGGTACCAGCCCAGGGGGAGTGCACAGCCTCTGTTTCTCTTCTGTCACCGCTCATGGGGACCTGCAGCCCTCCTCTGGGGTGGCTTGAACAAGGAACAAGATGGACGGCTGGGGCATGAAGCTGGGGTGTAGTACAGGCTTCTTTTGTTTTGTTTTGGTTTTTGGTTTTTTTCCGGTACCGGGAATCGAACTCATGACCTTGCACTTGCCAGGCAGGCGCTGTGTCACTGAGCTAAATCCCCAGCCCCCAGTACAGGCTTCTTAATAAGGAATCTGGACTGGTGGCAGAAACAGAGCTTTTCTGCCCTTTTGGCTGGGGCAGCCAACTCTTGAGAAACCCCAAGTTCCTGCAAGCTTTCCTATGGCCCTGATTGATACATCCCTTGTGTCCTTGAAGATCCGTCTGCATCTCTACATCATAACAGCCCTTAACCCGGGGCAGGGAGACAACACCAGGGAACCTTGGCTGCTCTGATGTTCCAAGATCCTTCAGTACCCCGGGTGTTTTCTGCATACAGTCTCAGGGTGCTGAGCCATCTCATTGCTCTGAACATAGCTGATTTTTAGCAGAAAGAGTGACGTGGAGGACAAAGAGATGATGAGAAAGCCTTTCTGAACTATCAGGCCATCTGAGGCTGGTCTGGATGCTAAAGGGTGAGAGTGGATGCAGGCTGGAGAGAACTGAGCCTCTGCAAGGCTTAGCTTGGATGCTACCTCCTCCAGGAAGCTCTTTAGTCCTCTGATCAGAAATCATCTCTGGGGGCTGGGGATTTAGCTCAGTGGCACAGAGCCTGCCTGACAAGCGCGAGGTCGTGAGTTCGATTCCCAGTACTGGAAAAAAAAACAAACCAAAAAAACAGGAAATCATCTCTGAACACTTGATGGACTGACACACTCTTGAGAATTTTTCTTTCCTTCCTTTTTGAGACAGGGCCTCTCTCTATGTAGCTCAGGCTGGCCTTGAACTTGTGGTGATCTTCCTGCCTCAGCCTTTCAAGTAATGGGTTTACAGGTGCATACTAGCACACCCAGCTGTTGGTGGATTTTATATGATGGCAGGACCAGCTTAGGTATGTAGCCTCAGAAAGACTCTGAGCTCTGCCACTAAGGACCAAATACCCTGGGATAAGTCCCTTTGCCTTTATTTATTTATTTTTTACTTTTCTGTCCTTTTCTTATCTTTCCTTTTCTTTGTTTCTTTTCTCTCCCCTCCTCTGTCTTCTGTTCTCCTCCCCAACCCATTCTCTCTTCTCTCCCTTTCACAGGAGATTGAAGCCAGGGCCTTCACTCAGATCTACATCCCCAGCCCTTTTTTACTTTTTATTTTGAGATCATGTCTAAGTCATTAAATTGCCCAGCCTGGGCTTGAACTTGCAATCCTCCTGCCTCAGCCTCCCGGAATGTTGTGATTACAGACATGCACCACCACCACAATCCAGTGCCTTCACCCTTCTACATCTGCTTTTCTTGTCTGGAAAATAAGGCTCATACCTTGGCAGATTGTCAGGAAGATCAAGGAAGGTCCTGGGCATAAGGTCACTAGTCCAGTGCCCTCTCACACCCATTATGCTGCACCTTTCCACAGTGTGGCCATCCTGCTCTACCTGGTGCGCAAGTATAAGGTCCCTGACTACTGGTACCCTCAGGACCTGCAGGCCCGTGCCCGTGTGGATGAGTACCTGGCATGGCAGCACACTGCCCTGAGGAGAAACTGCCTCCGGGCCCTGTGGCACAAGGTGAGGCTGGAAAGGTGTGTGTGTAGGGGAGATAAGGACATTACTCCCAAAGGTCTCAGGCAACACCGAATTCTTCTTTGCAGTTTGGATCTTTTGTCTCCCATCTTTAACCTCACTGATGATTCTGTGGTGCTTGGAATGCTATTAAACCCATCTAATACATTCTTTGTATCAGATAGATACTTTTGGTTTCTAAAAATTCCATTTGGTTATTTTTGTAGCATTTCCATTTCTCTGTTGCAATTCATCGTTGTTTACCCATTTTGTCTATCTTTTTAAAAAATTGAAACAGTTATCTTTGTTACTTAAAGGTCTTCCTCAGCTAATTTCAAGACTTGGGCCCTCTGTGCATCTTTTCTATTTATTGTTTTTTCTCTGCTTGATTATGACTCACATTTTCTTGCTTCTTTGCATGTTTCATAAGTTATTTTTGCATGCCAGCTATTATAGATAAGAGTAGAGATGGAAGTATATAATAAATACCTCCAGAAAGGGGGTGCATAGTCCTTCGTCATGCATCCAGGGTGTGAGGCTAATCTCTGCCAGTTAATCAAAAGGTGGGCTGGGTTGTGGTTTTAATTAGTTTTAGTACATCTGTGGTTTAAAATATAGATAGATTCCTGATTTAATGAATATTGTACTTAATACTTTTTCAATTTTATAATGGTATGAACACAATACATATGCAGCAAGAGCCATATTTGAATCTTGATCTTTTCCATGGCTAGTCATATGTCATGTGATACTCACTTATGGTCTGGACAGTGGCAGCAAGCCATATCTCTAGTGTACTCTGTTGCTGAGGTGCAATGGTCAGTAGATTAGCTATATGAAGTTGTCTTGGTTACTTTTCTCTCGTTGCTGGGACAAAATACCTGATGCCCAAAGTTAAGGAAGGAAAGGTTTATTTCGCTTACAGTTTGTGGAGGTTATAGTCCATACTTGGTAGGTTACAAGGCAGACTGGCACAGGGCAGAGGGCTACAACTCATGGCGCACAACACAACAAAGCAACAAACACACACCAGGGCGGACTGGCCTCAAGCACCCTTTTCCTCTCCCTTACATATGCAAACTATCCACCCCAGGGCAGGTGTAGCTCTCACACCCATACTCAGTCAAACTCTAAAAGCCCGCCCCATGACCGCATGAGGCTTTGGGGGGACACCCAGACACAAACCACAACAGAAGTGCATTTTTTACTCTAGAAAGGGTTCCACAAGGAGTTACCATTTAATAAGTACAGAGTTTCAGTTTTACAAGATGAGAAACGTTCTGGAAGGATGTTAGTGATGGTTGCAAAACAATGTGAATGCACTTAAACTGTGTACACTAAGCTGTACACTCTGAAGTACACACCAAAAGTTTCCCAGTACCAAAATGGAGTCATTTATGTCAGACTGTAACAAAATAGAGCTAAGGAAGGCCATGAAAAAGAACCTTCATGCATACATGCCCATGACAGGACTTACCACCAGACATCCTATGTGTGGCTTGGTAACAAAACTTGTGGCAAGGACTTCCTCAAGACTGCATATTCACTATGAGCTGTTTTTAAAGATTCCTGTGCTTGGCCAGGCGCGGTGGCACACGCCTGTAATCCCAGCACTCAGGAGGCTGAGGCAGGTGGATTGTTGCGAGTTCGAGACCAGCCTGGGCTACAAAGTGAGCTCAAGGCCAGCCTGAACTACATAGCAAGACCCTGTCTCAAAAAGACAAAAAAA